CTTACCTCAATCGATCCGGGGCCTGTATCAATCGAAGAACGCGTCTGATCACTGTAGGCAGGAAGAATACCTTGCCCTCTACACGTATCCACACGGCGAAAAGTATCCCAACGGTTGGAACTTGTCTGCTAGGACTGAAGAAAGATTTCTTCTTTACACAAGGGTTTCAGGGATCTTTCTCTTAGCTTTCTCACTCTCCAAACCTCTCCCTAGGGTCTGAAAATCGTGCCAAAAGAGTTGGGTGGCGTTCCCCTAAGTTTCCCACCCTTAAAACCCTAATTAGAGCAAGTTTAGTAAATCCCGACGTCTGGACCGATCGGTCTGGAGCTTTTTAACGTCTGGACCGATCGGTCCAGAAATGGACCGATCAGTCTGGAACAATTTCTGGACCTCACACGTTACCTCTGGACCGACCGGTCTACGTCTAGACCGATCGGTCTGGGTTAGTTGGACCGATCGGTCTAACCTTCTGGACCGGTCGGTCTGGCCTCCGCTCCACCGGGATTTTCTCGTCTCTTCTCGCGCATTCGTCCTTTCCTGTGTGTGTGACCCTGTAGGCTCATCCGATATAGCAGTATAACACAAAATCTCTTATTTCGGTTACACAAGTCATAGGCGGTCTCTAGAAGGACACTATGACTACCTATTCGTGATCATATGTCGAATATAAGGCATGGACAAGCCACCTTATCTGACCTTCTTGTAAACACATTGCTCATCTTCATTCTGTGAAAAACTAAACCTTTTGATTGTCTCATCAAAACGAAGGTTCCAACTCCTCGAATCCTGCTTCAGTCCATAAATGGACATCTGAAGCTTGCACAGCTTTCCCGGGTTCCTTGGATCGATAAGACCTTTGGGTTGTGTCATGTACACATTCTCGGTCAAGTTCCCGTTAAGGAACGCGGTCTTGACATCCATTTGCCATATCTCATAGTCGTAATATGCCGCTATGGCAAGCAGGATCCTGATGGACTTCAGCATAACTACAGGCGAAAAGGTCTCATCATACTCAAGACCATGAATTTGACGGAATCCTTTCGCCACAAGTCGTGCCTTATACGTGTGCACGTTGTCATCCATGTCGGTCTTCTTCTTGAAGATCCACTTGCATCCGATGGGTTTTATCCCTTCAGATGCATCAATCAGAGTCCATACTTGGTTGTCTGACATGGATTGCATCTCGGACTTGATAGCCTCGCGCCATTTCTCGGAGTCTGGACTCGCCATAGCCTCTGGATATGTGGAAGGCTCATCATGTTCTAATAACATGAGCTCTTCATTCCCAGTCACGAGAAATCCGTATCTCACAGGCTCTTGGTGAATCATGCCTGATCTACGAGGTTCACTAGTCGAAGGTTGAGTCACAACCGGTAGTGAAACAATTTGAACGTCTTCAACTTGTTCACTCGGCTCAGCGTCTACTTGTTGCTCTCAAACTTCCTCAAGTTCGATCGTACTCCCACTGACTCTTTTGGAGACGAACTCTCGCTCCATAAAAGTCGCATTCCTGGCAATGAACACCTTGTTCTCTGTCGGAATGTAGAAGTAGTAACCCTTAGTTTTCTTAGGGTAACCTACAAATAAACACTTATCAGATTTGGATGATAATTTATCAGTCATCTGACGCTTCACGTAAGCGTTGCAACCCCAAATTCTGACAAACGACAACGCGGGACGCTTCCCCGTCTATATCTCATATGGCGTCGTTTCAACCGACTTCGTTGGACTCCTGTTCAGTAGGTATGCATCGGTCTCTAAAGCATAGCCCCAAAGGACTTCGGAAGATCTGTCTGACTCATCATCGATCGAACCATGTCTAACAGTGTTCGGTTCCTCCGTTCAGACATGTCATTCCAATTAATTGTGATACAATACCACAATCAACCAGATAGTCAGAGAACTCTTGGCTCATATACTCGCCACCACGATCAGATCGAAGTGTCTTAATCGTCTTGCCAAGTTGGTTCTGTACTTCGTTTTATGAAAGCCTTGAACATTTCAAGTGTTTCAGATTTATGTCTCATCAAATATACATAACCGTATCGATTGAAATCATCAGTGAACGTAACGAAATATAGATAACCTCATCTAGCTGGACAGCTCATTGGTCCGCATACATCGTCATGTATGAGAGCCAATAACTCCGTCGCTCTCTGTCCTTCCCCTTGAAAGGATGTTTTGTCATCTTGCCCATCAAACAAGACTCGCAAGATTCAAGAGACTCAAAGTCAAATGAATCCAGAAGACCTTCATGATGAAGTTTTTGAATGCGTTTCTCGTTTATATGGCCTAGACGACAATGCCAGAGGAAGGTCGGGTTTAAGTCGTTCGGCTTAAACCGTTTAGTACTCACGTTATAGATGGACGATGTCGAGTTCAAAGGCTGATCATTCAAGACGTATAAATCATTCACAAGATAACCATTACCATAGTAAATATTGTCTCGATAAATCATTAAACTCGAGTTCTCAATCACAAATCGAAAACCATCCAAATCCAGACATGAAATAGAAATGATGTTTCTGCTAAGCGCAGACACATAGTAACAATTACTCAATTCTAAAACAAGTCCAGAAGGAAGATGCAAATCATAAACGCCAACACACAATGCAGGAACTCTTGCTCCATTTCTGATGCATAGATCCGCTTCTTCCTTTGCCAGCATCCTACTTCTTCTTAGTCCCTGCACATTTCCACAAATGTGTGAGGCACTTCCGGTATCCAATACCCACGAAGATGTAGTATAGATGTTAGCTTCTATAACATGAATACCTGAGGCAGAAGGTTCACCAAGCTTCTTGTCCTTCAGATCCTCCAAGTATAGGTGACAATTACGCTTCCAGTGTCCAGACACTCCGCAGTAATGAAAGTCACTCTTATCGGGTTTAGGCTTAGACGTAGAGGCAACTTTTGCCTTTTTCGCTGCCTTCTTTTTGGCTTTACCCCGCCGCTTCTCGTTGGAGTTGTTCTCAACATCAAGCACAGTCTTGGGCACCACGATATCCTACTCGGCCGATTTCAGCAACCCATGCAGTTCGGATAAGCTCTTAGTCATCCCGTGCATATGGTACTGCATCACGAACTGATTATAGTCCTCGAGCAATGACATCAGGATCAAGTCCACGACCAAGTCTCCATCGAGCTTCACTCCCATGCGCTCAAGTTCCTCAATATGAGATCTCATGTCGAGGACGTGGGTGTTGACAGAGTTGCCTCTCGGCATCTCCGTCTTCACCAGAGAGCTTTCAGCGTCTTGTACTTTTCAGTACGTGCTATCTCCTCAAACATGGTCTTGAGCTGATTGATCATATCAAACACGCTATTTCCTTCAAACTACCTCTGCAGATTCGGGGCCATGCTTCCCAACATGAGACAGGAGATCTCAATGTCGTCAGTCTGATGCTTCAACCAAGCATCCCTAACGGCTCTCGTGGCATTGACCGCAGGCTCTGGTGGTAGAGCCCCTTCTAGGACGTATGACTTCTTATCGTGCTTGAGAACTATTCTCAAGTTACGATACCAGTCCAAGAAGTTCGTCCCGGTCAGCTTATCATTCTCAAGGATAGATCGCTTTGTCAAACTCGGTACGCTACAGGTTGACGCCATGTCCTACAGAAAAAGACAAAACAGAAAGAACAAAACAAAATGCAGATTCTATCAATGATCTACTACCAGCTAGTCCATCATCAATCAATGACAACATAGATGCACATACAAGCAATATTCCCATACAGAAAAGTAACCCTGCAATAATTTTCTATATGGGACTAAGATCCGTATTTCACATATGAATGAGTTGTTACACTCAGCCTTACGCTATTTAGGTAGACATCTAATGTCAATCACATCCAATGTGACTCTTAGATCCTTTATGAGACTATAATATCAAATATCATTGCATACTTGTCTCATCTGTACCGTTAAGTCTCAAGTCAAACTCGACAACTTAACCTAAGGTAAACCATATTCAAGCTGTGGGAACCACGATTTCCTACCCTACCTCACAAAGATAATCCAGCACGCTCAGCTTTGGCATGACCCGTGTTATGGACGATCGATGCCTTGACAAGTGTTCTAGTAATGGAAGGTACACGCTTAGCATTGCATAAAAGTGTTTATACCATAATGTAGTGTTAAAACTTTTATAATAATATAGTGTTAAAACATTTATATAATATTGTGTTTGTACCATAATAATGTTGTATTGTTGAAGATGAATTTTCGCATATATTTGACTCCTATTGCACACTAAATAAATTGACTCACATGAGCCGACGTTGTGACCCATTGTGATCGGCATGTGACCATTGTGACCGACTGTGACCCGTGACCGAAATATGTTGATAAATATAAGCCAAAATTTAACTTTTAAGTTTCAGAGTGGTTTATCAGATTCTATATGTTAGTGTGTGTGAGAAAATTTCAAAATATTTTAAAGGGTTTGTAGAAGAAATATACCAAATTTGTCAAAAGTACTCATAAAACACTATGAAACATATAAGAACACATTTGGAAGAATAACTTTGAAACACAAAAATCACAAAAACCATATTTTAATGTTCGAAACAATATAGAATAGGCTTATGAGAGCTGTGTGACGTTGTAGAGTGATTAAATTGACAAAAATCGTATGGATCGAAGGTTGTGACCAACTTTGACCCATTGTGATCGAAATATACCGTGGGATCCACACGAAGAACTGGTCAGAATTTTTCTAGTTTTTTGTGTTTCGTAGGGCCCACAATCGTTATTTTTATATTTTGCTTTTAATATGGGATCCAGTTTGAATATTCAACCCTATATAATTTTACTCTTAATCCTATATTTTTTCCTCCCAATTTTTAACCTCAAATTTTCACCTACAACATTTTTAACCCATAATTTTCTATAAAACATTAAAAAGTTCAGATTTTTTTATGAACAAAATTCAACATATTTTGGTGCATTTTACTTTTACGTAAAATGCATATTTTTTCCCAAAATTCCCAAATAGTATTGCCCTAGTTCGTGAACGTGTGAACTTTCAATTCGCTAAAATTCCTAGAATTGAGAACATACCAGTCCTCTAGTTGGGATGTACTCACATCGCTACTTCGACAGGGATGCTTAGGAGCTTTGTGCGAATGACTTTGTCGATTCGCGTTCGAAATTGGGTTTGTGTGGAGCATATGCCTCTGAAAATTCTAGAATTTTCCTCTCTCCATGTTTCGTATGTGATTGTTTGGAGAAGCAGCTTAGCAATTAATGGTCGATTGCACGAACTGTCGTTTGCCGGTTCTAGGAGCCAGCCGACGCAGGCTGAGAAGGATCGGGGCGAGGAGTTCCATATCTTCCCGGCGAAGTGTATCCAGGCTTGGGCGACGAAGTGTTTGGTAATATCTTTATGGTTAGGTTCCATTCTTTTTTTTTTGTCAAAGCAAGAAGTTGATCTGGATCTTCGGTCCAACCTACATCTCCCTGGGCCGGGAGCAGCCTTTGAACACACAGCCTTTGACTATTTCTCTCTCCCCGCATGTCTGGATTCGAACCCCTGAGGAATACCCTCACTTCCAGTCCAGTCCAGGTACCACTCTACATATGGGTTAGGTTCCATTCTTTGTTAGTGGTGGCTTCGTTCAGACACCAAATCCATCATTTTCCGCGTCTGTCTTCATCGCTTTTATTAGCTTCTTCTACGCACTCTTCTTCTTCATCGTTACGACCCCCCGAGCCGACAAAAAAAAAACTTTTTTTTAACTTCTATTTTTTTTTACCATTAGGGTTTCTCTGTTTTCTGTGTAAAATCCAGAAGTAAAAGAATGCCGCCGAGAAATGGTTGTTTTTCTTCGTCCTCGTCTTCTTCCCAGCTAAGTAGTCTAAGGTCAGTAGCTTATTCATGGATTAATCAAGTGTTGGGGACTGTAATCGCGTTGATCAATCATGAGTTAGTTTCTCTTGCAGAGCTTTTCCAAATGGGTTTCTCCAAAATTTGGTCTCCGAGATTGTCCACTCAAACAATCTCGGTAGGTTCTTTTGATGCTCATACATATACTCCATAGATACATACATATGCGTACATATTCCAGTTCTTTTGGGCTCCATGATTATCACTTGGAACTTTCGGACAATATTTCTTAGTGTCTTAAGCTAATTTCTCATTCTTGTTTCGTCACTGTTCGTGAAGAGATCACCTCTCCAGGATTCAGACAAAGCGAATTCTGAAGATTATCAGTCAAGTCCTTTCAATCGCTCAGAGAGACCCATGGTTACCCATACTGTAAAATCTCGATCCTGTCATCTCTTTTTCCAGCATGTGTATGCATATGTATATATACACACACACATGAGTATATATACGTATACATACATGTGAATTAATATGTTCTGTAGTCATCTGAAGAACTGAGGACGGAGATTGCAGAGCTTGAGATTGAGATCTTGCATTTGGAGCGGTATCTTCTATCGCTCTACAGGGCAACCTTAACAGACCATTTACCAGAAGTTGCTGATGCGAATTCGCTATATCTGAAGACTCCACCTTCGTCCACTGATCGAATCAGTCATGAATCAGACATATGCACGATCAAGTTTCACAACTGCCATGCTTCTTCAGTGTTTGAATCTTCTGTCTCGTGTAGACGAAGCTTGTCCTCGAGCTTCAAACCCTCCTCTGAGAAGGCAATTCACGTTATCCAAAGGATCCATAGAAGTATGGTTGTTGTTTGATATGGGCAATGACACGAGTTTTTTGCGGTTTCTGACATTTCAGGAAGCGATGAAAAGAACAGAATCTGGTCACAGGAATCTTGCTGATCTTCTCGGTGTTTCACACATGATTGAAGATCTCGATGCCCCGGATAGAAACTCTGAAGAAATTGTGAGGAGAATGTGTCTCATATATTGCAAATTCTCAGACAAGACAGATTCTTGGTTGGAGTCAACTGTCTGAAGAAATGAACGGAGCAGTCCGAGAAGGATTCGATGTTGTAGTTCACAAGCTGAGCTTCGACGAAGATGATTCAAAGTCTTTGGCGAGCATGCTTCAAAATTTCAGGTGATAATGATTGGTAAAGATGTGAACTTTATCGTCGTTTAACCACAAAGGAGGATTCTTTCTCTGAAATCGGCTTATTGTTTCAGGGCATTGGTTAGAAAACTTGAGAAAGTTGATCCAGGGACGATGTCGTGGGAGCAAAAGCTCGCATTCTGGATCAACATACATAATGCCCTGATGATGCACGTAAGGAAAAATCTGCAGACTTGAGCTTTCGTTGATGAATCCTTCAGACCTTAAGCTGCTTGCTTCTTTCAGGCATATATAGCATACGGAACAAGTGAAGGAACAGCGAGAAAGATTCTTTCGAAGGTCTGATATTGTATAGTTTTTCATTATTTGTACAACACTTTGCAGAATCTTTGGGATCTTCATCATATCATATAGATGGATCATTCAACTTCTTTATCGATAAAAACCGGTTTGATTCAGGCAGCGTATAACGTGGGTGGTGAATGCATAAGTGCATACCATATCTGGAGCTCCATATTGGGCATTCGGTCACTCCAATCTGCACTTGTACGTTTTCTTTCGTTACGTTCTTCACAGATACGTTAGGTTTTGGGCATAATCTTGATGTCTATACACCTTTTTTCACTACTATTGTTTGATGATGATAGGTTCTTGAACGAACCTATCGTAAAAAAAGACCTAACTTTTATGGAATTTAGGAACCATGAATACAAGACGAGGAGAATCCGACTTATTTCCTAACATGTCAAACTCGATACAAACATAACCCGACAAGAACAAAACCCCCAAACCGACCAAAAACTACGATGGCCAAGCTTAGGGTGGCAACGGACAGGCTTATTAGGGATGTTCTACTATCCAATGTGGCAAGGGTTTCGGCAAGTCCCACTCTCGAAGATGTGTGGCTAACACTTACGGTCCCACTCCGATCACTACTCAGGCGCTAATCGACCAAAAACTATGTTTTAATTAGCTAAAACTACATCTTTTTTTATGGAATCCTGTATCTTAATGGTTAGTTCTGACTTATTGTCCGGTTGTATATAAACAGTTTTTGAAAATCAATACATTTACCGTTATCAAAAAAAAAAAAAACCCCCAAACCTTGTCCTAACGAGGGTCTATCACTGTGTTTTACAGACGATGTTTTCCCTGGCTAGGAACTCAAAGACATGTAACAGCACACACGCTTATGCGTTGGACTATCCCGAGCCCTTGGTTCACTTTGCACTTTCTTCTGGGACACAAACCGATCCAATGGTATCATTCAATTCATTCTTTCGCTTCTCACTTTGCTCTCTCTCTCGTCGTCGACTTAGAAAATGCAACCTTTGGTAGGTCAGGTCCATGTTTACACGGCAAAAGGTATCTTTCGAGAACTCAAACTAGCTAGAGACGAGTTTATTCGGGTGACTGTCTAGTTCGAGCGCGAGAAAAGGATTCTCTTGCCAAAGACTCTCTATAACTACACAAAGGATACTTCTCTAGGCTGACTGAGCTTTTGGACACCATTTTCGGGTGCTTTCCAGAAACACAGAGGAAAGCTATGTGGAGAATTGTGAAGGGAAGGCGTGAGAGACGGGTTCGCTGGCTGAACCAAGACTCAAGCTTTAGGTATGTCATCCATGGAGTACTTTCTAGACCGAAGATCGGAACTTGACCTTACATCCTTCCTTGAACTTCTTCTGTATGTAAGTACCTCTGTTTTTGCCAAGATTTTTACTGAATAATAGAGTTTCAAGCTGCATATATGAGCAAATGTATTGCATCCGATGTACTAAGGATACTTTAATCATCGAACCCTGCCTGAATCTCGATATTATACATATTTCTACAAATAGTACTTAAATATCATCTCAACACATAATATCATCTATTTCTGTCCTGAATCATGTGCTCTTATTACCAAACCATCTTTTTCTTCTTCGATAGATGCAGTTTCTCTATTGTTGTAAGACCGACTGGCTGTTAGTCATGGCTCTGGAGAAGTTGCAATTGCAGTCTATGACGAGTCTCCAACAGATCTTGAACGATGCATCTCATCGGATGGTTCCCATTCCATGGAGGATGAGACGATCATCAAGAGCGTAGTCAGGACGTCGGAGATAGAAGGACGGGAATTGAGATCACGGGCCACGCAGCTCTTGGCCAGCTGTGCCATTGCGTAAGCCAGCTCCATCGGGTATTCTTTCCCGAGACACGGGTCGATAAATCTTGTTAGCTTCTCCCTTACATTAGCTCCCTCGAGCACTTGGCTTATCGTCACCCACAACATCTCCGCCTCTTCTTCTTGTTCTCCAACATTGTTGTTGTTGTTGTTATCGCTGTCTTTCTCTTTCTCTTTCTTCTTCTGCGCTTTTGCGGGTTCTTTTCCAGAAAGAAGCTCAAGAATCACAACCCCAAAGGCAAAGACGTCTAGTTTTGGAGTTATAACTCCGTTCTCGACGTATTCTGGGGGCAAATAGCCTTGTGTCCCTACAACGTGCCTGGTTAACTTAAGATTGATCTCGCCATTGTCGTCCTGATCATCGTTGTTCAAGATCCTTGCCAATCCGAAATTGGAGATCTTGGCTCTCATGTTGGAATCGACAAGTATGTTGCTAGACTTCAAGTTCTTGTGGACATGCGGAGGGGTTATGTAGTTATGGAGATAGTTCAAAGCATCCGCTATGTCCCGAGCGACCTGAACTCTCTCCTTCCATGTCATACATGTTCCTTCCTTCTTGTCTGAATGGATCCAGCCACTGATCGAGCCCTTCCCTGCGTATTCGTAAACGAGGTACGAGTTTCCCTCACGAATGCAGAAACCTGAGAGTCGGATAATGTTGGAGTGATTGATCTTCTTGAGAAGATTGATCTCAGAAGAGGAAACATCCCCTTTGATCACTTTGATTGCTGCATCATCGCCATTGATGGAAGCACGATAAACAGAGCCTTTGATCTTGTTGACCTCGCTGAAATTCTCAGTAGCAACTTGCAGGTCGTGGAATCTGTAAACTGTTAACGATTCAATGGTGGATTTAAGACCTGAATTTTCTTGGGGAGACAGATCTACAGACCAAGATCTCGATTCCTGGGTTTTGGGAACAGAGTATTTTGTTAAAGAACCGGACATTGTTGCTTTCTCTTGTTGTCGTGTCCTGCGTTTGCGGAAGCAACAGAGCACAATCACCGAAATCGAGATTATCAGAATCAAACCAGCTCCGATGCCGATTCCGACAAAAACCCATTTCCGGAAAGATCCCGAAGATTCCACCGGAGGACTCACTGGCGGAGAAGGAGGCAGCGCCGTCACTGGAGGCGGCGGCGGAGGTAACCGGATCCCTGAGAATTCGGTTCTCAACGGAACCAGAAGGGGCGTGAAGAAGTAGATGAGGCTTGAAGAATTGATCTCGTTGGCCTCCAACACGGCAGCTTCAGAGCTTCCGAACATCTCTGCAACGGCTGAAACACTGTCTCCCTGAGCGATCAGGTAGGTGAGAAGGTACCTGGACCCACCGGAGCTCTGTTTCTCGGTCGGACAAGCACATCGGACAGGGACAAGAAGATCCAACCCTATCCTCAGAGCCTTCGAGTCGTAACGATTCTGAGACATAAGGGCTTGGCAAGTAGACAGAGCCTGATACGTGTTGTTGGCGACGAAGAAGTATGTCTCTAACCTCCCGTCGCCGTTTTCTTCTCCGGCGCCATGAAGCCGGTAAGTGGCGTTGTGCTGGTAAAATCTTCCGCCGGCGGAGCATGAGCATTCGATGGGGACGACGACAAGTGTCCGGCGGGGGATCACGGCGGAGGAGGAGGGGAGACCGTTGGCGGAGACGATTCCAGCGGCGGAGGAGTTGAGGAGACTGGCGATGGTGACAGCTGTATCGTACGGAGGCTGTGACCGGAAAGTGACGTAAGCACGGCAAGATCTGGGGCCGTTACAGGTGTAGCCTTCGGTGATGTTGTCGTAGACCTGGTTGTAGCAGTCGAGCTGGCGGTTGTCGACGTACGGCTGCTGGGTCGTCGCTGGCGGAGGGAGTAGGAGCACGGCGGCGAGGCCGAGGAAGACGGCGAAGGACGGAGGCGCATGAAAGGGAAGCGCCGCCGCCATATGGGTTCTTGTTGTGTTGTTTGAGAGTGAACAAAGGCTCTGTGATTTATGCCTGAAGATGGAGAGTTTAGAGCGTAGGAGACGACACGACAGAGAAGACGAAGACTTGGAAATGGTTTGGAAGTCAACGGAACGCGTCATTAGCATTCAATGTCGTGACGTATTGAGTATTCTAATGGAAAAATAATCGTAACAATTTTATATGATCATAAAAGTTAAATCCTTAGAAAATATTATTTGAAAGACTAACTTTTTAATATTAAATAATAAATATACCTTAAACTAAACCTGTAATTATTAAGAAATTAAGAACTCGATAACAATACTATCATACAAAGATTTTTATTAATTTTAACTTTTTTTTTGTTGGACTAATGGAATTCATTTTCATGGAAAATATTTGGTGCATGTGCATGATTTTCTTAGAATAAAATGTTGTTTTCAAGGGAAAAATGGTTAGTGCGACATTATTTTGTTTGGACGGTGAAGTCAAAGATCGGATGTGGAAGAACGGCCATGGAGGTCTTGTTAAGATAAGAATTTAACTTGATATGTTATTGGCTGGTTCCTGTACTTGGTCAAATATTCAAATTATTATTTGATGGAATTAATCAATTACATGTTCATATGTGGTTTCTTATATTTCTTACATGTGTTATTTTTTTTTTGGGTATAATACATGTGTTATTTTTATATTCTTATTTAGTTAATTATTATTTTTTAAAAAGATTAAAAAATATATCATTTGGTTTTTATAAATTTTGTAATAACAGTAAATATTAAAATTAAATAGAAGCAATATGCCATAAAAAAATTTACAAAATAACATATTATTTTTAGTAATGTATTTATTCACAATTTAAGTGATATTTTTATACATAAAAATATATTTCTAATTATAATTAAAATGGATAGATTAATAAATAGTAATATTATTATATATTTAAGGGATTTTTTGGACAATTTTCTTGGAATTGTAATTAACAGTTCATCTTAAATTTGAACTTACATTGTTTTTCATTAAAAAAAATATATTTCAGACTTAAATATGACATAAGTACAATTTAAGTATTACATTATTTCAAATATTTAGAGTTCACATTGTTTTATTTTGTATTTATATTGGTATTTACGTTTGTATTTGCAATCTAAATATGAGATTAATATCTTTTATAAAATGTTCTAGATCCAACAAAAAATAAAAACTTTCTAACCAAGGCTGTCTAATCTTTTATAGACAAACACATATATTCGTATAAAAATATATTTTTTTAATGAAATTCCAAATAAATTCGAGCATAGGCCATATTCTAATTTTATTTTCTTACATGATCCACGGCCGGCGAATGATACGCAATTCGATATATGATAAAACATATGGAAATTTTGAAAAATGCCCTAATGAGTTGTAGCAATCAATCATACTTTAAGAATATATTGAATTGTTAAAAAAGGTATACTCTATAGTTTTCTTGGGCAGAAAAACCTTTCAATGAAGCAGATATCACGTGAACCAAAACCGGGGAGAGTTTGTAAACCGGTTATCAATTGGTTAACCGGAAAACCAACTCCTCAATCGACTTTGCACTTGTGAACGCATGCTCTGATCCTTAGCATAGCTCCAATGGCTACTCCCACCAACACCATAATCAAAACTGTTGCATCCAAAAAAACTCAGAAAAATTCAGAACCCTTTTATAGAATGTAAGCTCCAAAACGTGATCGAGACAGTAAATACAAATATCATAACAATCTTCTCTATTCAGATCTCTATCGAGGAAGAGTGAAATACCCGTGATGGAGAAGTAGACGAGAACTGCCAATCGGTATCTCTTTGTTGCTGGTAAATCGACTTCGAGGGTGCAATGTCTTTGATACTCTTCCTTCTTCGTCGGAGCCAAGGGAGAGTCCGAGCCCCCTGGTTGGAGTTCGGATAGCGAAATGTTTGTGTGTAAAACCGTGAATCCACTAACGTCTCTGATCTCGAGATTGATGGTAACTGGATTGGCATTCCAATCTATTGATATTGCTCCAAAATTTTGTTGTCCTGCAGGGAATTATAAATTCTTGAAAGTCAGATGACAAATACGAAGATTTGAACTCTTTAAACCTTATTTTTCACATGCCAGTGGATTCATTAAGACAGTATGACACATATAGTTTGCAGAACTATAATTATGACTTGTAGTTAATTATATATGATGTTTTAGTCGTAAATTAAGAGGACCGGGAACATACCATATGTGCATGATTTGAATTTGCAGTTCTGGTTAACAACTCTCATCGTGCTTGGAATATACCATGAAAGGAACCTGACGAAAAAATGCAAAGGAGGTGGGAGAACACTCTCCACAGATTGTACGAGACCACTGGAGGTGACTTCGTGTAACGGGTACCCGACACCGCAGTCATATCTCGTGATTTCTCCAAAATGAACGTCTCCACTAATGAATATGATTCCGCTTCTCTGCAACAGTATATAGCAGGTAGGGTTAGAAAGCGGTGAGCAGTGCAAGGTGACTGTGTTGAACAAAATATCAACTATCATTATATTATACCTTAGAATCTGCTATCAATTGGAAAAGGCGTTGTCTTTCCTTCGGAAAACGGCCCCAAGATTCCATGTAAAATAATGGACCAGTGGTGGCAGAAAGATTTGATATCACCTGACCATAATGAAATTTGTAATTAAGGGCAGAACGGAATGAGACACAGGAAGCTTACGGCAGAAATCCTCAGGAGAGTGACTTTAAACAGGTTTGAGCCACCACAAAACGAGCTGGGCAAAATTAAAAGAACAACTTCGGCAGTACCTGAACAGAAGATCCTATAACGGTGATCTCGCTAAGTGGACCTCTCAATTCTCTTTCAAGCCATGTCCACTGGGCGTCCCCCAAGATAGTTCCATCACTTTGCAAAGGGTCTCTGTGATATCTAGTATCCAATAGTATAACCTGGAGATATAAAGGAATGAAGCAAATACAAGTTCTTCTTCTTGAACTTCATCGACAAAACAGAAAGCAAGAAACATGTTGGAAGAATGTGGTGAAAAACCTTAATTCTCTTGCTAGCCGGACCGAAAGAATATGATGCATAAACCCCAGCCTGCTTTCTCCTGCAATATACATCAAGAGGGAAATGAAGCTTACGCCATAGCTAAGCTAAGCCAAGAAGTTGCTCACGATATATAAACTTACAGCTCACCGTGGGCTATCAAGAGGCTCATCCAAGAAATCGAGCATGAGTCTTTGGTTAGTCACTTTATGATCGAACTCCTTCCCCGCATCATTTAATCCATAGTCATGATCATCCCAAGTCCCAATAACCTTGGCGTTTTTCCGGATACGAGAATACCCGGGATTCGCCTTAGCTTTGGTATAATGAGATGTCATCTCTTCCTCTGAAGAAGGCACAAACCTCGGGGCGTTCTTCCATGGCCCGATGGTTCTCTCTTTCCCGAAAACCTTAAAGGGTTGTTTGGTATCTCCATAGATGTTGTCACCCAACCAAATGAACAGTTGTGGATCAAACTTCTGTATCGCATCCCATATTGGCTGCTTTCAACAGAAAACACAAAAAAATTTCAAGTTCAGAACAGCATTTTCCCACCACCCCAGTAGATAATCTGAATTATGAGCGAAAATTGCACACTCGAGAACCAATCCTAACATTCTGACATGCAGATTGACGACCATAATCGAAGATTTTTCTAAATTGTCGAATTCCACAAAACTTGGCAAAATTCAATCACACAGATCAACAATAGGAGTTCCAAAAACGGAGTTCAAAACTCCGGCCCAGTAGACCAATCCACATCATGAACGCAATTTCACACTCAATATGTGAACGATCATACTCCAATTTTCAAAATTGTTCCGAAAGAACTCAAAGCAAAACCTGTGGAGCGCTTTGGTTGGAGCATGATCCAAAGGCGATACGACTGATTGGATGCTCCGCCGCCATCACCGCCGCGGAAAGCAGCAAAAACCACCAGAAGAAGAAGCGCAGCAACTCCATTATGGCTTCAGAGCTACGAGAAGCGGAGAGGAAAACGGGAGGAAAAGAGAAAACCCTAAATCAACCATGGGAAAAGAAGAATCTTGGTAGATCCAGCGAATAAAAGGATCCTCAGCTCTGGTAGGATTGATTTGATTTTCCTTTTCCTCGAATTCAGCTTTGGCATTGAAGAAGAATCGGAGAATATATTCCCTGGGAACTTCCATTTTTTCTTTTGGTTAGCTTTAGGGTTATGGAAAAGCGAATCGAGTATGCGGGGATTTCCTGTGACCGTTGGGAGTGTGATAGGGAGACAAAGCTGTTACTTTTGACCTTGTGACAGTTTTTCTAGTTGCTTCAAGTGGATTGGTAAAAAAAAAATTTCCCATTTTTTCTACAAATAAAAGAAGAAAAAAAACATGATCATCGTAGATGGGATCAATTGTAAAAATACCCTTAAATGATACATTGAATTTCAATCTATACCCTTCATCTAAAAAAAAACATCATATTTACCCTTATAAATATATATTTCCAATAATACCTTTTACTTTTTAATTTAATATAATTATATAAAAATAAGTTTTTTCTCTCTTTCACCGTTGTTCTCTCTCTTCCGTCACTCATTCTCTCTCCTCTGTTACACTTTCTCTTTGATTACGCTCTCTCTCTTTGAATCTTCTCTCTTCCATATGATTTCTTGGTTAACTAATTATAAAAAAATAAGTTACATCTCCAAAATTTTCATCTATTAAACAAAAATTTCGATAATAGACAAATTTTCCTTCCAAAATATGATATGTATTTTGGGCATTTAGGATTTACTACGTTTTTATCTTTAAAATTTGATTCATATGATATAAATGAATAAAATGGAACATATATGAGTAACACGTCATATTATATAGATTACTATGATTACTGTGAGTTAAATCAACATTACTATGATTCACACAGACAAACTGATCATATTAATATGTTCAGAGTGCAAAAATGATAAATTCGTAAAACTCGTGATGGTGTGACGAGTTTGACAATGCGACGAGTATGACGGTACGACGAGTCAAGCTGGTCAAATGATAGTGTAAATTAAATTTTGAAGGTTCAACGTGGTATATAGAGCTTATATATTATGGCGTATCTAACGTGTTTTTGTTATTCGTAAATCATATTGGAAAATAATATAATTTACCCTAACCTAATATGTTACAAAAGGTGTACTAGAACTTTGCGGTTTCTTTTGGGAGAACATGCATTTAAAATAAATAAGGTGTTGAATTTAGAGAGTTGCGATTATTTTTTACTTGTAATAATTATTATATGGACTGTTTATTAACATGTTTATAGTGTGAAAATGATAAATTCGCGAAACTCGTGAGGGTGCGACGAGTTTGACTAGTTTGACGGTGCGACGAGTATGACGGTGCGACGAGTCAAGCTGGTCAAATGATAGTGTAAATTAAATTTTGAAGGTTCAACGTGGTATATAGGGCTTATTATGGCGTATCTAACGTGTTTTTGTTATTCGTAAATCATATTGGAAAATAATATAATATACCCTAACCTAACGTGTTACAAAAAGTGTACTAGAACTTTGGGGTTTCTTTTGGGAGAACATGCATTGTAAAATAAATAAGCTGTTGAATTTAGAGAGTTGCGATTATTTTTTACTTGTAAAAATTGTCATATGGATTGTTTATTAACATGCTTATAATGTGAAAATGATAAATTCGCGAACTCGTGAGGGTGCGATGAGTTTGACTAGTTTGACGGTGCGACGAGTATGACGGTGCGACGAGTCAAACTGGTCAAATGATAGTGTAAATTAAATTTTGAAGGTTCAACGTGGTATATAGGGCTTATTATGGCGTATCTAATGTGTTTTTGTTATTCGTAAATCATATTGGAAAATAATATAATCTACCCTAACCTAATGTGTTACAAAAGGTGTACTAGAACTTTGGGGTTTCTTTTGGGAGAACATGCATTGTAAAATAAATAAGGTGTTAAATTTAGAGAGTTGCGATTATTTTTTACTTGTAAAAATTGTTATATGGACTGTTTATTCAAGTACGACCAGTGTGTAACTAGTATAACCACTTAACTTCATGACCACTTTGATTAGTGTAATCGTAAAACCATTTCACTGGTATGTGCACTTGATGAATGTGACCCATTTAACTAGATTTATCAGACTAGTCAAACTGGTCACACCATTCAAATGCGACTAGTGTGACTAGTATGACTATTTAGCTTCCATATGACTCATCTTCTGTGAAAAATATTGTTTATCATTTTCTAAATGAATTCCTAATTTTTTTTATCCATATAACTCGAATAATATGATCCATTTGACTTGTTTTGTCTTATTTTATTATTTACCCAGATGCCTCCTTCAATAACTTTTCAAAGGGTATTTCTTCTTCTTCTTCTTTTACCCCTTCCATTCTTGTTCCTCCTCCTCCTCCTCCTCCTCCTCTTTCTTCTTCTTCTTCTTCTTCTTCTTCCTCGGAACCTTCTTCTTCATCTTCTTCTTCTGCGTTCAGCCTAATCTTTTGGATACTTTTCGCAGTTTAGACCAGAGATAATGGCATGTTCGGTGATCGAGTACCTAACAGGTATACCGTTCAGAATAAACCACAACTCTTTCACATTTCCTTCAAGCTTTAGTGCGCGATGTAAAAGGACAGACACCGGAACCATATTTAATGTGTCTTCACATTGAAGATGGAAAATGTGTCGAAACTGTGACTCTTTGTTGAAATATGTCAATTCTTCGTTTGTTAGAGCCTTTTTAAGAGAACGGATGGTTTGAAACGGATAACACTTTGTTGTAATCTTGAGAGCATGATGAATGTCGTTAAAATCATATACAAAAGAAACCTCCAAAAAGAAAGTTAACATTTGTTATCACTTTTGTTTCAATGGTGACCAGATTTAATAGACTCTCAAACTTATCAAACTCGTCATACCATTCAGGTGCGATGAGTGTGACTAGTATGACCAAATTAGCATCGTGTACAGTTTGACGTGTGTGACTGGTTGTGACCAGTTTTACCAGTTTGGCCAGACTAGTCTAACTCGTTATACCCCTCAAGTATGACCATTGTGACTAGTACGACCATTTTGTCATACCGTGACAACTTCAATATGACTCGACTTTGTGAAAAACATGATTTTCCACTTTCTAACCGAAACCCTAATTTTTCTGATCTATAGAACTCCACTAATATGATCTAATATGATTCAATTAACACTATAATCGTGATTTGAGTTCCATATTACTCGACATTGTGCAAAACAATATTTCTCACCTTTTTACCGAAATCCTTATTTTTCTGATCCATATAACTACATAAATATGATCCATTTTACTCGATTTTGTTTTCCTATATTGTTTATCCAAACACACGGACATGAAATTCTAAGAAAAACATCTCACTTTTGTTGGTTTAGTGCTCTATGATGTACTGTTATGCGAGCTTTATTTAGATACATTTGATGTATTGACACTTTCTTTGGTTTATGGATGAGTGTTTTATTCATTACATGTTTTGCATACTTGATATGTTATGAGATCCATGTATTGTTATGAACAATACTAAACTCCCTAGTCATATGTCATTGTGGGAATAATGATGTAATAAGATTAGTATGATGGTGATCGATGATCATAGAGATGATCATAGGTATTTGATAACGCAAATCTAGATATATAAATAAGCTCAAGTAATAAAGACCTAGATACAACGAATACCGCAAGGATACGGATCAACTGTAGTACCAGGGTCGAACATAGGGAATAGTTAACACTAAGAACAAGACTCGACTAAGATTCAGATCAGCGAATAGCAGATGAAACAGATGAATATCGAAAATAAAGCAATAAATAAACTAAATAAATCAGATAACTAAACCACCGTAGCTTCGGGATACCTTAACGCGTAGGGATTGTTTCTAAGGATGGAGAATCTACGAATATCGAACTCTAATCGGGGATCTCAAGTTCTAATATCAGATTTGGCTCTCTCAAATCCTAAATCCACTATCCAATAATTTAACCTATCGATCTCTCAACCTAATAGATTAAAATATCAAACGCATTAACGATTACTATTACAGTTCCTGAACCGATTAATCTATCTCTCAATAGTCTTAATCAATTCATTCAATAAAATCGTTCCGAATCTAATCTCAACTCTCGTTGCAAATCAGAATCTAAAATCAATCAATCAACTGGCCAAGAAGATCAAAAGCAATAAACTCAATTCAATTAAACCGACGAGTATCGATAACGTAGTCTCGGAAAATAAAAACCAAACAAATCCCTACAAGGTTAAATC